CCTGCCGGAACTGTCAGCGACAAATGACACCACCAACTACGCCCGCTGAAATTCAACAGCCCGTTGAACCATCTCACCGGCCGTTCCAGCAAATCGGCATGGGCCTACTGGGACCTTTCCCAACGCCAAAATTCGAAAACAAATGAATCGCATAGCTACAGACTGCCTCACCCACTACGCCTAGACAAATGTGCTGCCCAAAAGCAGTGCCACCATCGTAGCAAAGTTCTTCGTCACGAGCATAGCCCTGTACCTCATGGTGCCCCATAGATCCTCACTACCGATAGAGGTACGGCCGTCACCACGGGATCAACTAAGCCGATCTTAGCACACATCCAGGGAAGCCACCACAAGACGATTGCGTACCACGTACAGACGAATGGCTGCACCGAGCGGCTAAACAAAGCAATAACCAAACGTCAACTTCTAATGCAAGACGTGGTGCGGCATCCAGCTGCACCTGACCTTCGCATACAACACGGTGCTGCAGGAGACAACGCAGATACCGTCGTGTATACAAGTAGGTCTACGGAAGGAACCCGCCCACAACGCTCGACGCCATGCTGCCCAACGTCGCTGACGAACAAAACCTCAACGTCATTGTCTACCTTAGGCTAACAAGACAACTCACCCACCTCCGCATAAAGAACCAAGGGAGAAACAACAGCTGTTGTTACAATGTGCATTAAACAACCTAAGACCTGTGTTTTTTGTCTATGTGTTTCATTTCTTGTTGGCATTTATTATTCTACTTTCTTTATTGCTGTTATCTTTAGTGTTGATGTATTTTCCCAGTATTCTGTTCCAAGCATCGAGGCGATGCTTCTTCAGAGGGGGTAAAATGCCACGGGCGTTTTTTTTTTCACTTTTGTACGATTCAGTTTTCACCCACAAAGACTGCGTCAGGAATGCTCATTCCAAACTGCGCATGTACGTCAACTTCGAACACATTGTTCGAGAACGTTCGTGATGATTGTACTACGGTCTGTTATTATTGCTCGCAAGACACAAAACCTCCATATTATTATAGAGGTTGCGCGAAGACCAGTGAAAAGGCTGGAATATTCGACGACGAATGTATAAATGCCGCCACTCTTCGACGCTTGTCAGTTGATCGCCGGCCCACACTTTGTTCGCCGCTATCGTGCCCGTGAGTTGCTGTAATTTGACTTTCAGTTTATTGGCCACAAGTTCAGCCGAATGCGCTCTTCTTCCACATCATGACTTCGTGACAAAATTTTTAATTAGAGAGGAAGTTTAAACGTTCACAATCTCGACTTATCTAGAGCCACACTGCATTAAAGTCACATTTTAAGCAGAATGCTCCTAACGTATGCATATAGCAGGGAGAGAAGAAGTCTCAGTTCCCAAACAGAAGTGTACTCAAAAAGTGAGCACTACAAGTGTGTAATGTATGCAAGTCTTTATGAATCGATCATTTGCACAGGTTCACATCATGCGCCATCAATTTATTTTGTGAGTGTTTTCTTACAAAAAAGTGTTCAAGTTCTATAGACATGTTTACGCAAAAAAGTGGTTGTGCTTCGAGTCTAAGTCCAGCAGTTTTTTTGTGTACTGTCTAAACACCAATAAAAATGTACAAACAACAAACATGTACAATGCATGCCTGAAGCTTTTGTTAGAATTGTACCTTTTCAAACTGTAAATACTCGCCTCATACCTCTGTCCTTTTAGCATACATTTTCGCTGCATGCTTAGGAGAGTTTGCGACGAGAAATTCCAGCTTCACTAATTGTATAACTGAACTATACCGAGGAACGAAACAAGCCTGAAATATTTTTCCCCGCCTATTCCCTAAATACTTATTGCCTATGATATATGCTCAAGGCCGAGATTTAAAAGCTCATAGCCACCCTGTTGACACAAGCTGACATTATTCATTTGTAAATTAAAAAATAGAGGATGACCTTAATTTTAGATCTGGTGGTAACATGCCACCAATATTTTTCGGGGTGGGCGCTCTTCCAAGCGATATGTTCGTTGTTCTGCCGAGCACCAGGCCGGAGGTGCGCTTGTATCAGCTATTTATTCAGTCGGTGCCTGGCGGCAGCTGTTCAGGGCGTAATTTTTCTCAGCTTCTATTGTACCGTTGTACCAAAATGTTCTGCTTTGGTGCGCCTCCATTCCCTTTGTACAAATGAAATTCGTCGTGTCAGCTGGTGAGGAGCTCTTTAGGCCACATCTCCACCAGATTTCAAACTATCTTACTGTTCCACGAATACCCTACATTGAGTTTTTCTAATGTCGAAGTGCGATAGGTGAATACTTTCTTCAATGGGCGTGAAATTCGCATGATTTCACATTCACTAGGTTTACGTATTGTGATCTTGCTCATTGCGACATTGCCGTATCAAATATCTGAGCCAAGATGCGTCGTTTTGTTGGCTACGAGTGCCTTGAAATTCTTGTGTTTGTTTCATGTCACACTTTGACAAGTGAAGCCGAAATCAAGCTTTTTAGAAAACGTTCGCGACAACCTGGCATGTATAATAATGCTTCGCAGGAATTCCCATTTACATTTTGAATATCGCTAAAACAAAGTACATGTTTTTTCAAGCCTAAAGGAGTAGCTCATATACCATGCACTTCAATTTACTTCCAGAGCACCGAGATTCAGCGCACAACAACAATAAAATTTCTAGGAGTTCTATACCAAGAACATCTTTCTTCGTCTCCTCACATTGACGTGATGAAATATCTTTCCAGGAGAATCGGCATTTTTAATAGACTGAGATACTACGTCCCAACAAATGTCAAGCTGCAAATTTACTACGCATTAGTACATTCACGACTAACATACTGCTCCTTGGTGTGGCTAACAACGACCACCACAAACCCTAATTCTGTGTTGATATTACAAAAGCGTGCTATACGTGCTATATCTAACACTCCCCTTTACGAAAGTGCTCGACCATATTTTAAAATGTACAAAGTATTGCCTATAAAACTGTTATACAGACATAAGCTATGTCTAGAGATATTACACCAGTATAAGCAAAATACATCACTATTCTTGGACGCATAATATGTAAAAACAAACACCATACGAGCTGCGAAAGAGCCTAATATACAAATATAGATCACGCACGAACTGCGGTGACCAACAATTAGCGTCACAAATTCCAAACATTCTAAACAAACACCCAACTATATTACATTCACTGGAAGACGGAATTTCAGCTAGATCATTTGAAAAAATAACGAAAGAGTTTCTAGTGGATGAAAGCGATGCTTTTCTTGATTTTTCAAATTTGTAGGTAATGATGTTTTTGTATTCGTTGCACCTTGTTCACTATTGTCCCTTTGCTTGTTGTTTATTATACTCTAATTTGTCTTGTAGAGCAACTCGATTTCATAGTGAAGATGTCTCTTGTTAATTTATTTGATAGAAACATGCATTTGTTTGTATTTGCCACCATTCGAATAAGGACTGTTTATATTTCTATCCTTTTATTCCCACTTCTGGCAGTTCCGGTTCGACTATGGTACCCGTGTAAGATAACACGTGATGTTGTAATTTTCTGCGTAGTGTACTTGCGGTATGTTTCTCCCTTGCTGCCAGGGTGGCACGACCAAGTCAGGCATTTACTTAGCCTTTAGTCGTGTCCCCCAAGGCAATCTTGTTCAATTTTGCCTTGAATAAAGCAAACCAAACCAAACCAAGTAGCAGACGGCACCGGTTCATTCACTGGTTTGTAACCAATGTCTCCACGGTTATGAATAATCGTGGAGGCATTGCACGGTTGTCAAACTGGCAACTCAGTTTTTCTCGTGAATATTTAGTAGCACGTGAAACAACGCCCCAAAATTGATTTTCTTAACCGTCAATCTTTTGACTACATATTGAATTAAGGTTGGCAAACTTTTCACCAATGTACCTCTCAAGTGCGATGGTTCGTTCAGCCATTAATGAATGCATATTTACCTTTTGAAGGCTACAGCTTAGAAAGAGAAAATTTTATCCATGAACTACAGCGCAAAATGCTGTGACTGAATACCATACTTGTTACTGTATTTTTGTGGTTGGAATGTGTACCCGGATGATCCTATTTTTCAATTTTTATTTGCTGCGACGTTCTGCCAGTGAGTGAATCTCACGCATCTTAAGAGCACCGCAAGTGCAGTAGGAGGAGATAACTCTCTGACTCCCTAGTTGCTCGTATTCATGTTATATTACGTGATAGCGTGAATATAACATAAATGAACTTATGTTTCTATGCCTAGGAAGATTTTGACTCGTCGTGTGTTCTGCGTATATTTGAAAAATCGGAGGACGATTGCGTTTCGCCTTCAAGAATAGATCGCGATAGCACAATGGGGCCTCGAGTGCATCCCCACCTCAAATGATCGCTTGCTTCGGTTTTGTAAACCTAACATTGGTCTGAAAATATCAGTCAAAGGCTACTGGAAGTCTAATCGGTAAATGTACTTTACGCTATAATTACTCCTTTTACAAATCAACGAAGGGCCCACTACGCGTCTGTAGGGCTAAGCGTGAAACTGCGCAGCTTTGTTAATGGCTGTGGTGCTGATAATCATCAAATATGTCATGAACTCTTAGAATAGGAGGCCCTTTAAAACACTCACTGAATGCTCAGTTCACATCTCGTGACGCCTGAAGTGATTCCATGTTTCTGCGGCTCAACACAAAGAGACTTATTTCACTACATGACATTCATGTAGTCTTTTTTTTTTCGTGTAGTTTCGAAAAATACTATTCCTCAGTCGGAAGAAGACGTTCTAGAGGATTACGGCTCCGTAGTAGCTTTGCCTTCACGCAAATGGCCTGCGTCGAGCGTCATTCGAATTCGAAATATAAGTTTCTTTATTTGCATTTTGTAAATTTTCGCTCATCTGCAAGATGATATTTTGGTCACAACCAACAATACCCACGCTGACACCAACGCAAACGCCGGAAATTTTTTTTAATAAGCTCTTCAAAGCAATCGTGTTATTATTAAGTAGAAGGGTAATTGACCTATTTAAAATTTTAAATAAAAAACTGGCCCAAAACACATATTTGAAAAGGGAAAACACAATTTTATTTTCTTGTCCTTGCTGCTCAACCATTCCTGAAAGTTAGCACCTGAAATGAATCAAAAAGAATGTCGTGAAAACAAATCCCCCGAGCATCCTCTCAAAATTTTTGTCCTTCGACTAAACTCTTCTCACCTTGCATGAAAAAATACGGTTTCATTAAAAATCAGTGGTTATATCTCTTTTGAAGTTCGCAAATTGATACTTTTCCTTAGATATATCAACAATTATTTGCAAGGGCTTAGATATGGGTAAAAGTAGCACACTAATTGAATTTCAAGAAAGGACACTTGTGCATTTGTGACTAGCGTCAAGTTTTATAATCGCCTTCATTCCTCATTGTTCACTGAAATGATGTACTCTTCTGGGGTAGTGTTATGACCGCAGTTACCAGTTATGCGACTAAGTGATATGCCACATCTGTGCTTCGAGAAATGCCTGTCTGGGTTCTATACCAGTATATTTGTGGTCACACAATTGGTGTTTCACTTTACTTCACACGAGCCCAGTCATGTACAAATCAGTCAAATAGATAGATAGATAGATAGATAGATAGATAGATAGATAGATAGATAGATAGATAGATAGATAGATAGATAGATAGATAGATAGATAGATAGATAGATAGATAGATAGAAACATAGATAGATAGATAAGCTCAAAGTCAATAAAGTTTGCTAAGAAATGCTTCGCATTTATTATGTACAAAATTCATTCATTGTTTTCATTGTTTTTCGCTCAATTAGGCAAATAATATTAAACAAAACCTAATAGAAACTATGTATGTAGAGTAGGTGCAAATTTCCCGAACGAACGCTTTATTACGAACTTAGTGACAGGGCCTAACTTTAGTCAAGACCTTGATGAATTCGCAGTAATAGCGTGATTGAGTCGCTCTTGCAAACTTCACTTTTGTGGCAATTGTTGTAGCCTTTTCAACCGGAGGATACGCTCTGGTGACTACCTCGAGGCCCGTGCTCACCTAGGTTGGCAAGTTCACTACCACTCCGCGTGTAGCTATCTAACGTTTCAGTGTAAATCAGGACGAAGAATTCAGGGAGGAAAGAACACGAGAGAACGGAAAGTTAGGAATGAGAACCAGTCTAAAAGGAGTGGCGTGCTACCCCACGCTGGGCACAGGATGAAGGAGTTTAGAAGATCCAGAAAGAGGAAGGGCAGAGCACGCGAACACGAAGTCGCGCAACTCACATTCATTAAGAGCCTAGAAACCTATAATGGCAGGTGGAAGTTTGATTACTCGATGAAGTTGAGCTCAGCCTTCGTCGTCTTTGCCTTTCGTCACCTTTGACCTCTCAGGACGACAATCCAGAATTGTTTTCGCCATCTTCGATCTGAGATCTACGTGAGCTGATGCCACTGCAAGTTAGTTTCTCAATGCTTTATAAATATCGAGGACTGTAGCAAAAAAAAAGTGTGATGTAGTGACTCTTGACCATAAAGCACTCTTAACCATAAAGGTACTCTCAGTCATAAATGGCAAAGAACAATGGCATCGTTTGAGTGCACTCTAGTAGGTGTCGGTAGACGTAGAGTGGTCGAGATGTGGTAGTGCTCATTGCGCAGTCTCCTTCCTGTATTCTAGGTGGACAAAGAGATTTTGCGATTTCTCGCGAGGCCACACAAAATTGGCTAGCAGCCTCGGCTCTTGACAAATGTATTTTCGGAAGTCTTGCCTCGTAGCATTGCTGACCAAGCAGCTTTCTCGGTTTGTTCATTGCTATTACGCCGCAGTTACTTGGCAATCTCTGAAATGTGACACCATGTCATTTCTCAAATTCATTATGTCAGGGCACCTAACCTAAACAGCCAGCTGTTGAAGGCCGTGCCACTGGGCCGAATGCATGGATAGAAGAGCTGCTTTTGAATCACTCGAGACTGACCGTCAGTGTTTGTGCATAGGCACTTACAGTTAATTGCGAAAGAAACTAAATAAATACTGTTGTGTCGCTCGTATTATGCAACTACTACGTTAACTGGTACGACTTTTAGCCATACAACTTAAGCGTAGTATATTTTGGTTTATGGATAGTTAAGGACGCATGCCGATCGGTCGATACCAACAATGCTAGTTTTCGGCTTCGTTGGAACTCAGTTTATGCCAGTGACATTATATATAACTCCATAAAAATTTGAAACCAATCAAAACGCTGACCAGTTCCGTTTGCGGTACTAAGTCCCGCAGTGTAGGTGTAAACACTGCATCAGCACGGGCGTCGAGAGCAGATCCAGCAAGAAGTAAAAGACCTGGATATGCTCTATCATATACCATGAGTGAAGTCGGACATCTGAGTACGAAAGCTGCGCTACGATTTTGTAACACTTTTGGCTCTCAAGCTCGAACCTTACAGATATGACGCTTGCGCCTTTCAGTCAAGGCGTCGTCTATTGAAAACACTGCACAAAATTTTTCGAAGCACCTTGAAAACGTAACCAAATCTGCCAATTATCGAAGGAGCCCTTCTTCATCGTTTATGCTTCCACGGTGCCTGACAGCACTTCGCATGATTTGACCTCCAGCCACTTCGTCTCGGCATCTACAACCACCAGCAGCATGTGTTTTTCGACGACACCAGTGTAGTCAATGTGCTCTCAAGCCATTTTCGGTCCGTCATGTTGCCAGAACATGCACCGGAGGCATCGCACTAGTTTGGTCGCCATTCTAGACAGATAAACTGACAGGCGAACGCACGAACAGACGGCCGCACACACATTCAGACGAATGGACAGATGAACGGACGGATGAACGGACAGACAGACAGATAAACGGACAGATAAACAGATGGACAGACTTACGGACAGACGGACGCTTTGCCCCACTAATCGACATTCCGTGGGTAGGCTGTGATTTTTTTTTACTCAATTCCTTTCTTCCGCTATTACATTCTTTATCCAAATTTTCGTTTCTTTCTGTAGCTTTTTTTTTTCTTTTTCTTTTTTTTTTCTTTTTTTTCTTTTCACCTTTCATTTCATGCAATATTTATCCTATTTCTCTTTCCTTCATGTTCACTGTGCTAGCCACAACTTGCTGTTCCACACTATTTCAATGCAATTCTAGACTGCACTACAATCAATATTTATGATTTGGTCTGCTAGCGTGCCTATGTAGCCGGTGTTTAGGATGCTCAGAATTCATTATGGGTAGGCGAATCCGAATCTCGCCTAGCAAAGAAGCGTTCTTTCTGGAAATATTCGTCCTCTCTACCTTAATCTTGCATCTTTCTCCCTGTCTTTTTTTAGTCTCAAGGATTTTATCTCATTCTAGCTGTGTCTGTACTCACTCTCTCGCTCCTCATCTTAGTTATTACTTCCACGCAGGAGAAATAGGCGCACGTGTTTTAGGGCCGAAACAGAAAATGAAAAATAGGACTATTATCAAGAAGACGCAGAGACCATGTGCCTGTTAATCATGAGCCTTTCTATTTTCGCGGCTGACGGAGCAATGGTTGTCTAAAGATGACGACAGAGCGACGCAAGGTGTCACAAGAGAGCAAGAAAGAGCTCTTCTGGCTGACCTCGGTCGGCAGCTGCACAAGCGTTTAATTTTGCTCCTTAACACTGGAACACAATTGAATCCGCCCTTATCACCTTTTCGTAACGATATTTATGCTGAATTATTCTTATAAATGCGTGGCTTACCATGTGACTGTAACTCGTCTCATGTGGTCATGACAGGTAACGTTAGCACATGGGCACCGTAGCATTAATGTTTGGCCCGGTGAAATGGGTAGTGGTCCTTCAGTGCACATACCTGGGAGGAAATAGGGAGAGCAAACACTACTTATTTAAAGTAGTGGTACTGAGATGACACGAATGACTAAAGCCGTAGCTTCAACAAATAAATGCTTATAAATTGCTATCGTGTAACGTATATTTTAGGTGATAACATCAGCGATATGCAACGCTTTGAAAAGGTACGAGCAGATGGAAGTGCTTTTGCAGTGCGGTATGTAGTGGACGTAGAAAAGTTTCAATAATTATAAATGACCTGCAGTTCAAGAAACAGCACAGCGATGATACTGATCGAGTAGTCCACAATTTAGTCACACATTAGGCAAAGCGCCTAATACGCTATGACATGTGATGGTTAAACGCTGTTTATTTTTATGTTTCATTATACGCGGCATTTTAGTGCACGCTTAAGGCGAACAAAATCTATTTGTCTCGCCCGCGGCCACTTTCCACAAAACCAAGTCAATACTATTTTACTGGTAATTTCTTAATTCGTTTGTCCAGTGCTCAAAAGACACAAAACCTATTTTAAGAACTGTGAAACATATTGGCTTACTGGCATAAATGTTATACTTAGAAATTATTACCACATAAAATCCGTGTATTCAGAAAAAAACAGGGCTACATGCGGCCATCATCGTTTGTACATATTGCTCACATATTTATATGCGTGGTAACTCAGAGAGATGGACACCAGCTGATACGATCCGAATGTTTTCTTTGAATATGAGAAGCCTCATCACCTTCATTGCTAGTTGTTTTCTGCTCTTGCCCTAAAGTATTCAATTTATTTGAAGTGCGAGAGATAACAAATGTCAGTACGGCAAGTCAAACACGGTTTTTTTCCTGGGATATTCAATCTTCGACTGCTTTTGTCGGAAACGATAATGACGCGAACTAACCGACAATGTTGGCACCTGAAGTGTAGTGGACGTTACTTCTCGTAGTTATGATATATATGTATGTGAAAAACGTGTGATAAAATAACTTGCTACAGTGAGAAACACAGCAGCTACCTTTGAATATCGTGTTCGATGCTCTACAAAATTAGCACCAGCTGTGGCCATCCGCCTATATGTTGCCTTGAACGTCAGAGTGTTATCACCGCTAGTAATGGCGACGAGTGTGGAAAACTAGTTTTCGGCTATTTGGCGTCAAGTCGCGCATGATCATAATACATGGTGTGAAGTCGACCAAGACTCATCTTGAAAACGGTGCATACACACGAGAAAAACGCACATTGAGTTGGTCTAGTTGCTAAGGTACTCGGCTGCTGACCCGCACGTCACGGGATCGAATCCGCCACAGGCGGCTGCATTTTCGAAGGAGTCGAAATGATGTGAGCCCGTGCGCTCAAATGCGGATGCATGTCGAAGAGCACTAGTTCGTCGAAACTTCTGAGCCCTCCTTTACGGCATCTCTCGTATTATGATGGTACTTTTAGAACATTAAACACCAGATAAATACAACAAAGGAAGACACCCAAGGACACATGACAAGATTGATTGTTCTTATTATCCTGGCACAACCCACCGTAAAGAATTTGCCATAAAACGAGTGTTGTCTTGCTGTAAAAATGAACTAGTACATAATAAAGAAATGTCAAGCAATGAATATTTTTTTACTAAAGAAATGTTAAGCAATGAATAGAAATGAATACGTTAAGCCGCGCCCATGATGTCTGGAGCAAGTCTCGGCACGTCACCACGCCACGCTGTATATTTCTGGCTGGGAAGGCCAACATGGCGGCCGAGAAGACAGCAGGTCTATCGAATACATTAGTCCGGCTCAGAGCAGAAATCAGTGCTGGATTCTTTCGCAAGCAGGGGATCATTCTTTATTCTGCTCTACTTGTCGCGTGTGCGATACAGATCACGCTTGCCGGCAACGGGCGCTGTCGTGTTGTATATCGCACGCATGAAATGCATCGCGAAAGTCAGCTTGGGCATCTGTAGTTCGCCTGTGTTTTGCGACCGCCTGGAAATAGGACGCCGTTGCCGTCAGCCTGCCGTACGCTTGCTCATCGAGTCTTGGCCTGTCTTCGCCACCGTGATTAGCTCCGGCTCACGATACTTGGCTGAGACCTCGTCGCTGTGTTAGGAGTCGTCGAAAACACGTTGCGGTTCTGGTAACGAGCTTAGTTGTAGTATGTGGCGTTCTGTAAGTGCACGAGCAGGGGCGAGCAGGGCTTTAGCTAGCGTCGGAACTCAGTGAAGGTTGGTCGCCATTACAGTTGTCTCCACCGTCAGTCGATAGCAAGCAGCTCGGCGCCGTCTATTGGCCGTGGCGGTGGACTCACGTTTGCGCGCTGCACTCGCTCGAGTTTGTGGAAAAGGGCCGCATTACCGTCGATTTCTTCGGCGCTCACTCGAAATCAGCTCGGCGCTGTTCGTGGCGGCGGCCAAGCGTACGCTCGCTCTCCTGTTCGAAGTTCGCTGGCGGCCGACACTCCACGTGCAGCGCCGTATTTTAGTCTCGCGTTCGCCTAATCGAGCTGAACGACGTCACTCACTCAGAACTCGCCGACTTGTTGGCGGCACGGTGCTCCGAGGAGTTGTGGCTGCGGCCGCCACTCCTAAGCTGGTGTGCTACGGGTATCAAATGAGTCTTTGGCGATGTGTGGCATCACGGTGAAATTATTAGAATGTCATATCTTACGTATGTTTTTATTTCACCTTGAACGTATTTCTGGTATGCAATCGTATTCATCCTCCGGCCCGTGTGACTCACTATTTTGCATACTCATTGTGCAGCCGTGGCCCCAAACTATTCTGAAGTCTGTGTGCGGTGGCATCTGCGATGCCTGTCATCCATCTCTTTCGTCAGATCAGCTTCAGAAGCATTCTACGAGATGTGAAGGTAAAGCTAGTTGTGTGTCATACTTTACAAGCATTTTTTGTATTAACCTGCACAGGCGTGTGTCTTCATCTGCTTTCACGTGTGTCTAACTATTTTTACAATCTTATTGTACGTACAGCCGTGGGAACACAACAGGCAGAAGGTTGCGTGCGCTGGCGTCTGCAATGGCTGTCATCTATCGCTTCCGTTGGAGGAGGTCCACAAGGAGTGAACAAGATGTGACTACGAGACTGGACATGTACACTTCACCATGAATTCCCTTAAAAGAATGGAGAATCTTCATGTGTATGCAGAAAAATAAAAGATTTCGATGTCTCACTTTTGTCTTTCGGTGTTGCCGTGACTGCGAAAGCAGTTACATATAGGTGGCTAACTACTTTTTCGCGTTTTTTTACTGGGCTGTTTGCTGCTCACTGCGCAAAAAAACAAGCGAGAAAAGTATCAGGCCTGACGGAAAATAAACAAAAAACAATGTTTGAACTAGAGATAAAAAGTTCATCCAAATAAAGTATTCAAGTGGATCAACCGTTCGTCCGGCGAGGTACAACTGTAAGGACCAACGGTTGCCCGGTGAGATATAAATGTGGGAATTGACAGTTGCTCAATAAGGTGCAAATGGGAGGACTAAATGTTAGTCCTTTGAGTTGAATTGTGGGACTAACGGTTAACCAGTAAGGTGTAATTGTGAAGACTAAATGTTTGTCTCTTGAGCTCTTTCGTGGGGACTAACTGTGAGACCCGGTGCCGTTAGTCCTTAAAGAAATAGCGATTGTGGCAGCCCCATTAGTTTCCATAAGGACGAACCACACACCCTTTTAACGTCAATCCGCCTTAGAGTGCAGCTGCGATTTCATCAGTTGTTCTGATCTTTCAGGCATTCGACCCCGTCGTCATCGACTGCCCTGTTCACCGAGTTGATATATCTACTTCGTTATACAACAAGCATAGCTCTGTCGTTCGAAGAAGATATCAGTAAAGTTTGGCTCCTCACGGGATTCATTCCTGCATGTCCCCCAAAAGAAGTCTTTTAGGGGTGCGCTCTACGGCTGTATGCCTGTGTGTTTGGTGTACCCAAACGTCCTCTTGCTCCAAAGCAAGCTGCTAGGTGAGATGCAACGACGTAATGCTATCCGCTTTAGAAAAAAGCTAACACAGACAGCAAAATTATTTTGTGTCTCAACAATGCTCGCACATATACCGTTTTGCGGAGGTTTCTTTGATATATTTCCTCAAGCTGAGCTGATACAAACAGCGCGACTTCTGTCGACCGCGTTAGACGCATAAACATGCAAATGAACATTCATTGGCTACCAAAACATTCTCGAAAATTCATAGGACATTCTGACCTGAAAAGTAAACTACCTGCAGAGCTTCCACCTAAATAGTTATCGGGTGATCCCTCCAGTCTGCTGGTATTATTCATACTATGCGAAGTGCTAAGGTCAACGGTAGTCCCATCTGCCTGGACGTGGAGTGAAAGCACATTGGTAGTTTTTCGAAATAGTGATGATAATATCTTCCATTCTAACACTCCATTACAGATGCAGCAAATGTACATGCCTAATGAGCGAAGGTAATATAAGCCTTTTGCCCATGTCACAGTTCTTAGTACTGGCTTGCATGTTTATTTTTGGTGTTATAGTGGCAAACAACTTCAGACGCTCATAGAGTTAAACGTATTATGGATTCGCGCATATCTCAGCCAACTATATTGGAACAAGCTTAACCCATGTGAAGAGGGCATAGCACAGTGCGCACAAGATGTACATCCGACGAAATTTACGCCAGCACTCAATCGCGTTACTACGTACCAGAAAATGCGCAAATATTACTGAATCACTCACAAAATATAATTATTAATTCCAGATCAGGGTGCAAACCTATATGATCGTGACGTAATTGTTGCTACCTTTAGTGACGCAAGTTCATGCACTATCAACTGAAAATAAGTTTCACGATTTCATCTCCAAAGCCTACAACGTCCCAACAGCAGAACTGCATACCAGCTGAAGCCTAAGTTGACAACGATAAATTTGAGTGAGACTTTCTATCCTAGAATCGCACAAAGCTGTCTAGAAATGAAACTCATCTTCGTAACCTAGTACAAAAAAAATTCACTTATTGTTTACTGTTGCTGTCCGTTAGCGCTCACGTTGATTGACACACTTCTTTTTGAGTGTTTACTTTGTGTACACATCTTTGTTGCGTTAAAGTACTTTTGTTTACTCAGCTCTTATGGGAGGTCCCCTGTACAGTCTCTTGACTTTGGGACCTCCCTCTGTATCAGTAGTAAACCCCATTGTAACCACCATTTGTAACCAATCAATTTCAATAAACTTTCAAACAAACTTTCAAACTGAAGAAAAAAAATCGAAAAATTATATGTAGTGGTTATTAATTCACCATTGCCAACCAGAAGAGTCGTCTTGTCACATTCTTCCACAGACTGCGATACCACCACAAGGACCATTGATGCCAAAACCAACAGCGCGTGCTTCATCGCGTACGCTGTTAAGCGGATAGTGAACAGCCTGGAAAAAAGGAAATGTATTTAGCTTCTAATGCCTGTTTCAAGGCACAAATGGTGGCCTCGTGTACATCGACGGTGCAGAGAACTGGGCTTTATAGAATTAGATGTACAAAATATACTTTACGTAAAACTTGATCAAGAAAAGGATAGTGCACTTTATGTTAAATTTTAAAGTTTATGATTGTGAAATTTATTTTTAGTGCATGAACTTTGATGTGTTAGCGTGATATATATAAAAAGGCAGGCTACGCAGACGTGAAAAAAACGTAGTCGTCTACCTTCTTTTCTTTGTTATATCTACCGCAATAATACAAATTTGGCTTATTGATAACCAAACCACGCAAGCTACAACATTTCTTTTGCAGATAGGAGACACAAGTACTCCGTTAAATCTAAAGTTAAGGAAGCACCAGTGAGGGATATAAAATGCGAAGCATTTCTCAGCGAACTTTGGCGACTTTTAGCCTATCTATCTATCTATCTATCTATCTATCTATCTATCTATCTATCTATCTATCTATCTCTATCTATCTATCTATCTATCTATCTATCTATCTATCTATCTATCTATCTATCTATCTATCTATCTATCTATCTATCTATCTATCTATCTATTATCTATTTATCTATCTATCTATCCATCTATCTATCTATCTATCTATCTATCCATCTATCTATCTATCTATCTATCTATCTATCCATCTATCTATCCATCTGTCTATATATATATATCTACCTCTCTATCTATCATCTATCTATATATCTATCTATCATCGATCTATCTATCTATCTCTATCAGTCAATCAATCAATCACTCATTCAGTCTTTTTAAAGCGTACTATATATATTCGTTTATCTATATAAATATGTTGTAAAGCGTACTATGAGTGACCAGGATTAGATGGGTTTGCACATTTTCTTAAGGAATGTGTAGGCACATTCAAGTTGATGAGTGCTCATTGCAGTAAACTATTGTGGCTTTGTTTTGTGTCACATCAAAGCGAAAGTACGCAAACCGACAAATGCTGCTCCTAAGGGGTGCGCACAGCTGTTAGGCTTTTGGCTGCCTAAACCTGTGCCGACACCTTTAATGCCCACTAATGTTTTGTAAATGCACAAAGTTGCACAGTTTCTTCGTTAGAAAGAAAAGAAATGCCAATTGTGCGAAAGCGCAGTCGTTGCACGTTTATAAACAGTGTACAAAGCATATATATCTCTTGGTGCTATTTATTAATCTACTCTATACTCAATCTCATTACTGCCGTTAATCATTACCAAGACCAGATTCTGTAAGCGACATACATGCTCTAACAGGAAAACATTGTTCGAGATATAATCACCTTACAAATGACATGACTGCGACATTTGCGCTTATTGCGGACGTATTCACACCGATGCATAATATATTCATTATTCTAGATATCTGGTAACTAACCAATATGGCAGCTCTGATGTGGAAGCGACTACCCGTTTCGAACTGAAATTGCACTCTCTATGCGATGTGCTGCGATTAACAAGTAAAGGCTGAAATGAAACATCCTTTTATGCCATCTCATAAAGTGGACCAAGTATGAAACACATTTTATAATTACTAAGGAGATACATTGTGTGTTTAGGCCCAGCTGTCAAGTCTCACACCCATATAATTTATTTAGAGTTCGTATAATTTAGGCAGTATAGCCTCGAACACGTTGTGGAGCTCTCAAGTAGGAGCCCCAATTGTTACGGGGCCTCACAGATATGGCGTTGAGGCCACTGCACATGCGCGCGACGCAAACAGGGTTCGGTTTTCGCGTCGAGGACGCTTTTTTCTGACATTGAGTGGGAGCCCTGAAGCCAGCCTCAAAAGCTTCGCGTCACACAAAGGAGACGGCACCCGGTGATCTAACGGCTCTCGGCCAATACTAGATTAACCCTGTTCAAAAATTTCTATCTCCCGCTTGATCGAAAGCGAACTAACGCAATACTCGAGCGTAGAGGCACCAATGTGGGGCCCATTATCGAGAACTACCTATTGCTCTCGAAGCATCTGCACTTTAGTCAGAAACAAATACAAGCGTCAGATTGCAAAGTATAGGTCGTAATGCACACAAGGACGACTCAATAAATTCCGTGTGGAGGGCATCGGATGTGATGAGTGCGGTCATTTTTTTCTCGACGATGCCTTCTGTTCTCATTTCTTGACCTCCGCATGTGAAGATGTGCCAGGCAGACGCCGAGAAGACTATATGATGCTCATGAGTGCACATGAAGAGGCTAATCGTTCCTGCTGGCTATGAGGCGCTTTCACCTTCGCAAAGCTGACAGAAACTTCCGAGACGGAGCACAGACAATACGAAATCTCATGTGACCTATGGCAGTGTTGCATCTCTGGTTGGTTTTTGTACTTTCGCTTATCAAGGAAGACCAACTATTAGTCCAAAAAAAATTCGCAATTTTTCAGGAACCTGAAGTTTCTGAAGCAATTAAAAATTTGTTTTCTATGTGTTTTTTCCGAAGCTGAATGCGTTTTTGTATACATATACTGTTTTTATACAAACAGAGCGCTCATGAAGATATATAACGTTGCTGCTCTTTCAAGGTATGAGCGACGTGTTTCAAATGCCATAATTTTGCGCATGGAGGGTTACTGCTGCATGATTTCATGCATTCTTAGGTTCTTTGCGATGACGGCTATGCAACCGCACTTTTCTATGCAAACGTCAAAAATCAAGATTGTGATACCCGATTGAATTATTGTATCAAGAGAAGCTCTTTGAGTATCAGGCATCAACTGAAATAATTTTTTTTAAATGGCCATCCGTGATGTTGTATTTACAATGGCAGTAATTCTCAGCACCGAACGAAACAATTGCAACAACAAATAGTGCAGTTACTCTGCGCAATCGTGAGAATTCCCAGGTGAACCTAACTTACGTGAAACAGTTACAGGAGCACTCACCATGAAGGTAAGATGCAATACTATGACGCAATAGTAGTGATAGAAAGCAAAGCAATGGAATATAACAAGTTGACAACACAATTACCCCTGATTGCCGAATGTAGCACATTGAAAAATATGTTCGTACAGTGTCACAAATACGCAGAGAACTAGAGGAAAGAGCGATAGTAATGAGGGTAAGGCAAGGGTGGTAATATTTACTGAAACTGCAGATATGTTACCCTCCCGATGAGCAAGTTAAAAAAGCTGAATTGGGGCTGTTATATCTTCCTTCTTAGACCATATAGACCTAAAACAAGAGGAATAATACTTACCAACTCAACTCTTCTCTCTATGAAAACTAATGTTTATGGCAGCTCGGTGCGCTGGCTATTTAAACTGTTTGGTGATGTGCCACCCCCATGATGTTGGGCGATTATATGCAATCCCAAAAGCATTTTAATTAGGTCGCGATGTAATAGACAGAGCAGACTTGATATGATAAAACTTGGTGTTTCATGTCAGAACGAGAGAAATGAGACTGCCAATTATTTGAAGGAAGCATTGTAAGAACAGGAATAGGCAATATGCGTCATTATTTAAAACCTAAAAGTGAACGAAGCCATTAATACATTATACGTCTTCCGGAGTTTGAGCAGTGACATTCACAACTATGTTTTAATAAGTAAAATAATTTCATGAATACAAAGTTGCCCATTAAAAGTGTGACCTGGCAAATAACCAGCGGAATATATTTCCCAATAAGTACGAGTAGGTTTTCTGACGTCATATTTCAGTTATTCTACTAACACAAGTCATAAGTGCGGTTATATTCTCGGAAATGAAAGTTCTCCGGCCATAAAAAAATGCCATGAGCCACATGCTTTGCGTACAATTATTATCACCTTCAATGTTACTGATAAAACATAAAAACTACTGCAAAATATTGTAATCTTTCTTTGAAACGTATGCTTTCTAGACGACAAATGAAAATCGTGGATATCCAATCGGTGAACAGAAAGAAAATTGCACCTGAAACTCTATCGCAGGTTTCAGAAATTTGACGTGTTCCACTGGCTTGTTAGCGCTTTCGCTTAAGAAAGCAAGTACGCGCACAGGGCCAAGTTTTGCACAAGGAAGTGAATACCACACAGCTATAAGGTGCAAGGAGGTCAATCTGAACGCTGGGCTGCGAAGCGACGACGCCCCGCTTTGTTGATACTCACCATACTGTGTTTCCAATCATTTCATCTATCACTAACCCATTGTACACAGGAAACTGCGTTACACTAATAATCACGGTTATACTACGTGGTGTCTTACGCGTCGAAATTTCACACGGTAATGAGGCACACCACGCTCAATAACTCCGTAAAGTTTGATCATCTAGACTTCGTAATGCTTCAGGTCAAGAAACGAGTACCACAGCAACTGCATCAACAAGGTGAACAGTACTTTGCTAGCGAAGTATGTACTACGAGCTCAAATTGCACGACTTCATGACGGCCGCAATCGGACGCTGGGAAATTGTGAAAGCACATGTGCACTAGTTTTTGGTACAAGTCAAATATTACAAGGTCGTCTAATTTCAACTGATTTTCCAATTCGAAAGGCATCTTAGTTTTATTGCACGTTTTGTTTGTAAGGCCTTGTAAATTACATTACCCCTAACTTCTGCGCAATGAAAAACTACGCTGAGACGCCTACCCAGCAAAACCCACGCCGCTTCATATTGTTTGATGCACCTGGCCGTGTTCACCGATGGCGTTCGCCGTACAAAGTGCATAATTTTATTCCGTATTCTCGCCGATCACGGCTACGGTGGACGCACTTGAACAGAGGCAAAATATTTAAGGCCCTTTTTTTGTTTCAAGTCACTAAACGTAGAACAATACCAGGTGGCTCACATTTTAGAAGCCCTCTAGTGAAGCGTCTCACGTATCCATATCATCGTTTTGCGATATTGAACATTAGATATCATTATATATACTATAGCCATATGGCACAACCGTATTCTTGAGGGATAATGATGTTCAATAATATTTTAGTAGCACAAGTTCTCCATCGTGAAAACTACTGGCTTTTCAATAAACGACAGGAAATGTTACCTCGAAATGGCGGCCAGCCACAACCTTCTTTATTGTACCAGTCACAACGATCTGTATGTTTGTAAGGGCACATCTCACCAAACTACACTTTACTGCCATGCATCCCCATTCTAATGAATTTCAAAAGTTTTCACGTATGTGGTCACAATTCAACTCCAGGCTTGCGCGATGTAGGCACCATGGTGCCCTCTTTTGAAGGAGGCATGAACCCACGCCACGAGATGGTTTACTCCGCGGTAATATCTGGTCATACACGTTTTGGCCGCCAACCGCTTGCGTGAAAGCAGCACAAGTGTGGAGCTCCAACCTTTTTAAAGATATTGAACGTAACATCAGCGCTGACAATAAGAGTGATTGAGCATAAGTGTTCAACAAATTCTAGTTGCGAGGTTGATTGATTTGTGGTGTTTAACGTCCCAAAACCACCATATGATTATGAGAGACGCCGTAGTGGAGGGCTCCGGAAATTTTGACCACCTGGGGTTCTTTAACGTGCACCCAAATCTGAGCACACGGGCCTCGACATTTCCGCCTCCATCGGAAATGCAGTCGCCGCAGCCGGGATTTGAACCCGCGACCTGCGGGTCAGCAGCCGAGTACCTTAGCCACTAGACCACCGCGGCGGGGCTAGTTGCGAGGTTTGAAACATGGTTGTAACCACTGCAGTCGCGGTGCCAAATGTGGGCATCCATCATGCTGGCCTAAATAGCACTCAGCCATTAGCGAAACACATTGCCTGATTTTATTATTTTAGACCAAGCTCTACAGCTCTTCATAGTTAGCATTGAAGGCAGTTTTTGAAAGTGTTCTGGTCACCAGTTGATGGCGCGTTAAGGAGTATTTATTCGAGCTTGCAGTCGTCCAATTAAACATATCCTTCCGATTACACGTCTGCCCTCTCTTTTGTGGTACATTGACGAGAAAATCGGGAAGGCTGACAACATTATTCTCATGTTCAGAACAAAACCGAATAACACTTTTAATTTGCTGCGCTATTCAACGTCTTAATGATCAAGCCCACTGTTAAAGATATCACTGCTGGTACGAAACAAAAGGCGTCAAGTCGGATTTCATTTCCAGTTCTCACGCCCTCAAACGCTAATCACATCACCACACCACCTATTTAGCTTCAAGATCGTGGCCAACAAAGTGCCGTTTTTCGACGAGCACTTCATCATGCCACTGCTCGCTCGTTTCCGGCGTGATTTCATTATCTCGGCGCGATAAAGCATGGGAAGCAGCCAGGGACATCAAACAATTGTGGTTGTTTTTGTAGATGCACTGTCAAGAGTAAGATACTACTGCGTAGTTTGGCCCTGTGCACATCTTCTATAATTGTTCAGCCAGAAAGAATGGTTTCTGTCAATTTCATCAGCAATTTAAAATATTCTAGCACGTCTATCGCAACAACAGTTCCGAAGTACCACGTGCTACAGCCAGCGGCGCGTTTTAAAAGTGCGAGACAGCTTGAAAGCTGTAACTCATTGCGCACCTCAAATTTTTCAATGACTAATAATAATCATGATCATCAGCTTGATCATGTCCACTTTAGGACAAAGGCCTCTTCCATGTTCTGTCTGTCAAGTCGGTCCTGTGCTTGTGGCTACCACTTTATACCCGCAAGCAAACTAAACTCAACTGCCCACCTAGCTTTCTGTCTCCCCTTCACCCGCTTGCCTTCTCTGAGTACCCAATCAATTACCCATAATGATAAGCAGATACCCTGCCAACGCACTGCGTGCCCAGCCCATGTCCATTTCATCTTCGTGATTTCCACAAATATCTACTTTAAGTTCGACTTGTTCCCTGACCCACCCTATTCTCTTCTTGTCTCTTAAGTTACTCTTATCATTTTTCTTTTCAATGCTCGCTGCGTCATCCTCATTTTAATCTGAACCCGTTTTGTAAGCCTAACGTTTGTGCTGCGTAGGTAAGTACCGCAAGATGCAGCTGTTATATTCGCAACGCCCATGGCCTATAGGAGGCGCGCCGTGCAATCAAAGATGGCTGCGGAAGGATGATCAACCCATGAACACGCATATAAAAAGATAGGACGCACGGACGTACTCTCCATGACGCTTTCACCGGATGAACTCTTGATCATCAAGTGAATGTATAGCAAAGCAAAGTACTTTTCCAACCGATAGGAACTGCTGAATTTTCGCTACCTCATTTCTTGCCGCAATGCGAAGGGCGGTGGTGTCAGTTGATCGACCGTATATAAAGGATTAATTCTGTAAGTGGTAGAGAAATCCTGTAAGTGGTAGAGAAAACTGCGCGAACTGGAACTTACGTATGAACTGAAGGACACTCCGAGACTATTGGTGCCGATCCTGCCTGACAGATTTACCCCATTAGTGGGCCACCAGCGAGTAGCGCGCTGTCGCGGCTGCACAGGACCGAATGTTTAGTGTAGCGATGGTTTGCAAACATATCACGCCGTCGTCATCACTTGCGCTTTAAGCATCATGCAGCTGCTTCTTCAACGAAACATAAGCATTTAACTTCCCGTTGAATAGCGCTTGTGCCTAGCCATGAGCCACAGCCTGTAACAGTACGCCATTGCCTGCACTCGGATCTTCCAAGTTCCACCAGCGCGATGCAAACAATGATATCGACAAGCGTACGCTTTTAGCAACGTCAAAACTTTGTAAATTTGTCGAACAACAACATAGTTCAGACGGCATCAGTGAAGTTCAAGAGAAATTAGCATTGGGCTTTAGCCGTAACTGCATGTTTCATTGCTTTAACCATTTTCAAGCTCGAGCGTCTTCGCAGTATGCGGCACTTTTCAATATCATAACGACTGGGATATATTCAATGTCCAAGAAAAACTATGATTTTATTTTCAGCTTGTTTAAGTATATCGCACAACAAATACAATCAAAGCGACTGCCGAGCGTGAAAAAACAATGACGCATGACGAGACGTGAAGTGCAACTCTGTGCTTGTGAGCTAGCAGCTGATCATTCATTGTCGCTGTCACTCTCAGCGCGTTGACAACCATCTACGTCCAGCGAAAAATCCTAGACGTCAAGACGGTTTCCTTGAACATCACTGAACATCAAGTAATCTGTGAAATTCTCTCCGCCATATTACTTCGATAGCACCAACAACACGTCATTCATCACGCATAACACTCACACGGCGCCACAAACCATGTTTATCGGAGGGCTATCATTTCAATCTAATACCCAGCAAAAAAAAAAAAAAGAATCGCTTGCAATGTGCTGCCATATATCAAAGAACGTCACAAACGAGCGGCACTGCGTCGGACAAACATCAGAAACGCAAATCCCAAGTCTGTGCT